TACATGTTAATAACTTGATTGGAATTATAACCTTGAATTGACAGTTTGATACTTTGAAAATTTTGAGCCAGCCCTACCCCCAAGGGCTGTAGGGTGGGGCTCAAAGGAGTCAGTGTGCTAAAATTTCTTCATTTTCCTTGTTAAGAATCAGAGGTGCTAGTTTCAAATCTTTTTTAGTCTGAAATCTGTATGCTAGATATTGAATAAGGTGGTTTTATTGTTTTTTGTCACTTTGAATAATATTTCTGTTCATGTTAAAAACAAAATCAACTCTCTGTATAAATATATCAGGTGACCGTTAAGGCCCATGGGCCTCTTGTTTTAGTTCGTCTTTACATACCAAAAAAGGACTAGACAACAAATATCACACAAAATTGTTAAAACATTGCACGTTAAGTTCCGACCTATACTTTATGTCAGAATTATCGTAGCGAAAAAAACATTTGTTTATTCTTTTCTTCATGGGGCGGAAAGACGAAACAACGAATGGACGATAGTATTGCCCCACCAGGAAGGTAACCGTATCTCCGTGATTAGTGTTCGTCGTTTTTCCGCTTGTGATTTCTTGTATTTTCCTGACGAAATGACAAACACACGAGATCATTTAAATGATAAAATCACGTTTTTCAGGTTGGAAACAACGAAATGGCACACATACGCCCCCGTAGAAATAGAATAGTATATATATGGGATATTCGAATAGTGGTCTGTTCTGCTAAAACCACCTATTCAATTCTGTTCTAACAATTCACACAGATGTGTTAATACATTTGTAGATGTCGTCCAGTGGTGAATGGCCACCTTTAAACATACTACCGGACATCATAAACAGTATCTGTAGTAAACCTGTGGACTTCCCTCCGTGTCGCTATCTCTGTTTCTCTTACAACGTGATTATATTGTTTGTCAATTGTACAATTTCATGAGAGTTTCACACGGGACAAAGATAGTAAGGTATAGAGGAATACAGCGTGCATGTCCATATCGATATGTCGGAAGTGTAATCAATAAGCAGGTCCGTATCGATCAGTGAAACTTCCAAATCTTGTCTGTTTCATTTGCTCGTGACCACACTGACCAGATTAGCATTGCATATGCGTTTATCTTACTTCTAATTTCAAACCTTTTTATAACGTTAGTTCGAATTCGTAGTAACAGTAAAATGTTTTAATGTTTTGATTGACATAAACAATACTGAATTATTTAAATACATACTTATACCGATCATTTTTGTAATATATTTCTTTTATATTAAGAATAATTTAATTTCGACATGGCCCATGACAACGAAAATGAAAAAACGAGCTATATTTAAACAAAGACATCCACATACTCC